ATCAGCATAAGAAAAGCATGAACTGTAGTTAGCTGCACTGGTATTTTCACAACCAAAATGCACTAATAAAGAAATAACTTCCAGGAATATAAAAAATATTGTACTGAAGAATAATTCAAAGAAAATAATTCAAAGCTAGGCAAAGTCTGCAAAATTAGTGCAAAAAGTGTTAAAATGTAATCCTCAGAATGAAATGTGAGAGTTGTTACTGATAATCAGCTGGTCTGTAAAGGTGTGAATGCAAAGCCGAAGGATATATAGTTGATGCTTACTCTTGAGGAATCACAGAATAAATAAGGTTGGAAGAAGCTTAAGGAGCTCGTTTGGTCCCACTCCCTTGCTCAAGCCAGGGCACCTACAGCCAGTTGCCCAGGACCAGGTCTGTGTGGCTTTGATAGGCTGAAGAGCCCACCATGGCTGTGGGCAACCTGTGCCAGGGTTGGATCATGCTTTCAGTGAAAAAGAATTGTCTGATGTTCAGAGGGAACCTCCTGTGTTTTAATTTGTGCCTGTTGCCTCTTGTCCTGGCGTTGGGCACCGCTGAACAGAGCCTAGCTTTGTATTCTTCACCTCTCCCTACAGATATTTAAAGACACTGATAAGCTCCTTCTTCCCTGTGCCTCCCCATGCCAAGCCTTTTCTGGACTGAGCAGTACCAGTGCTTCTTCATAGGAGAGATGCTCCAGTTCCGTCATCATCTTTGTGGCCCCTCAGTGGACTCTCTCTGATGTGTGTGCCTGGCTTGCAGTGGGGAGCCTGGAACAGCCCAGCACTCCAGGTGTGGCTTCACACCTAGAGCAGTGGTGTCCCCCAGTGAAGCAAGAGCTGGCTGTTGCACAGTTTCCATCTAGTTTCACCTCCTATGCTTATACCAGGATTTGGTGGGACTTCTTCAGAGTCAGGTGCTGGCTTTTGCTATTTTGCTTGCCTTCCCCATCCCACCTCACGTTTTTGTTCTTGTGGGGTTTGTCAGGACAGGGCTCACAGTGCATCTGACACCGTGGGCCTTGCTTGCTCCATGACTGGTGCCAGCTGTCGTACCTCTGTTACCACGTTGTCCCCTTCTTGATGATATGCTGGATCCCCACACCCTGACCAGTCTTGCTGGTGGCTGTAGTCAGCTCAGTACCTGTTGATGGGGTGAACAGCCTGCAGTGTCTGCACTGCCAGCAATGACATCTGCTGTTAGAGTCTGTGGCTGGAGTTATCACTGAAGCCATCTCGCTCTTGTGCAACAGAACCCAGCCAAAGCCAAACCAGGCATACTGAGTTTTGCCCCTGTGTTTTCTTGGGAAAAGCTCCAAATGGAGATGAGTGTGCTATACATCCTTCCATGGACTAGAAACAGCACTAATGCCTGATTGTCATACCAGCAGCTTCTGTGAGAGCTGGAGAAGTTGACATCCTCTTTGCCATCCTCGTGCCCAACCCGTGCCTCAGGTCATCCTGTGCATCCAACGAGCTCCCCTCCATTGGGACTTACCACCAGAACTGGTTCTTTCTTCCAGTAGATCTCTTTACCATATGCCACAACATTTCAGGTCCCAGGAAGGCTTACTGTGATGCTCAGGAGCAGCACTAAGCTGCTTAAGTAGGTATTGGAGGACATCATGTGAAACTAAGGCACAGAATCAGTGTTCCTTCTATACTGCTTATAGGGAAGGAACTGTTCTCAGGCTATACTTAACCACTAATTACAGTCTTTGAGATACTTTTAAGAGAAAGCAAAGGTTGCACTGATAAATATGTACGTTTCTGAAGTTATAGGTTGTTTTCATAGGTCTTTTCACACTTTCCTGCTTATATATCTCTAAGAAAGCTGTTTCTGTGTCTCAGTGTAAATAAAGAAAGGTACAGAGAAAAGCTGATGGCTTCAGAACACTGCCTGCTGTAGTGAACATCTACTCATGTCCTTCATCCTATAACCCATGAAAGAAAACATAATGTACACTGCCTTTTAATGCAGCAGAGGCCTCTTGCAAGTCAGCTTGTTTAATCTCCCCTCTCAATATTCCACATCTGTGGAATACAATTCTCTAGCAGTCTCATTTTAATAACATATTCTAATCCATTAAACTCACTCTGGTAAGCTTTCAGTGAACCATGACATTTCTAAATCAGAGTAAAATCAGAGGCCTTAAAGCAGACTGCAGAGCTAAAATTCTTTTTTATCCCTTCCCTTTATTTACAGAAGATTCTTATGTTGAAATTTACCAAATCATCCTGACAGAATAATTATGATGTCATGCCATGTCAGATTTTTGGAAACAATGTCAAAAAATGAACTGAAGAACGTGTTGAAAACTAAGAAATAGCCAAAAAACCACCAACCCAAGCCAGAGACCTTGAACTTAGCCAAAGAGTGATGGATGAAAGACAACCCGTAATGGGTATGTCAAAACTTTCTGTTTCCTCTCCAGTATAATCTGACAGCTGATGCTTTTGCAGCACCAAGGGAAGTCCTTTTTAAGTCCAATTATTTAAAATCCTTAGCATGACTCCTCCATGCCAAATGCTATCAGTGCCAGGGGATCGCAATGCAAAGCCTTTCTTCTCCTGATAAGCACTGGGATGTAATCAACACTGATTGTTACATGCAATTGCAGTCTTGATGCTTTTCACTGTACATAGTTTTAGACTAACTGCAGAATAATTTGGACTATCCTTTTATTACTTATTCTGGAACAGTTTTGTAAAACTAAAATAATCGTATTTCTATGTGGTAATTTTGTAACCCAAGAAAACATACCAAAAAAGCTGGACTTAGAGAAGATCAGTAATCTTAAGTTTATTCTGCTAAAGACTTATTTGATATTTTACCAAATCAGTTGAGCATTCTTCATTTCCCAGGTGGCTCTTCCTTTCTCCAGCCCTGAACCCTCCATCCCACCTTCCCAAAAATCTTGCTTCTCATTCCTTCAGGGCAACCTGACAAATAGATGCAGTGATGAAGGATTATCACTTCTGCTGCTGCTCTGATTCATCCAGGCTGCTTGGAAGAGAGTACAGAAAAGGGCACAACCCCTTTCTGTAACAAATCATCTTCTGGACGTTTTCCTGTCCCATGAGATTGAGCATTATGGCTCACATTAATGAAAACGTATTATTTCCCTTGCTCTGGGATTTTAGAGAGACCTTTTGGATCTGTGAGAAAGCGGCATACCCCTTGGTTTCTGGAGCAGCAACACCTGAAGCTTTCTTTTCTGGTGGAAGCAGTAGGGACAGCACTTGGTATTTCATCTCTTGGGCCATGGAAAAGGGCAGCTTCTGCCTTGGCAGCCAGGCTGCAGTACCTCACTGAGTGGGTCTGACTGATCGCACTCTCATCCTCCTGCCATCAGCACCATGCAAAGCAGGAAGGATGCTGGCACGCCTCTCCCCTTGCAGCAGAGTGGTTTAATGGAGCTTTTCTCATTACTCAAGGTTTTGTGTTTTCCACAGACACAGGCAGGCATTACAACAGGTATCACACGTATCAGTGTCTATGTACTTTCAAACTCCTTATCAAACCACTGTATGTCAGAAGGCTGGAGTAAGTTTCACAATTCAGTCTTTCTAACTGCCTGCGTGTGACAGATTCAGATGTGTTTGCATGCTTAGATTTTCAGATAGCATGTGGATAACTGGTCACACATGCATGTAGAGTGTTTGGAAAAGCTGAACTTTGTAAAGTAGCAGAAGCTTGGAAGCTTAGCAAAATGCAATGTTAAGCTAAATAGTAAAAACAATAATATGTGTATATGTGTGTAATTTGACAATACATTAGGTTTTGCTATTCTTTGCTAAGAATGATACCTTTAATCTCTTGCTGCTTCTGAACATTTATTTGACACAATAACCACAATTTTGTTCATCAATATTACAACAATTGTGCCTCAAATAAAAAGATTGTTCTCACGGGACAAAACTTTCAATGATACATGTGGAAGTTACAGTAGCATCCCGGAGTTCATACTTTGTAGCTGCTTTCATTAGGGAAAACCTTTATTAACATTTAGCATTTTTTTCATCAGCAAAGCGCTTTCAAAACATTTGCTAATTAAAACCTTTATATCTTTTAGACAGTGAAAGTGCCTTTTCCAGCCCACACATGCTATGTAACTTGTTTTATTAGTGGTTTAGTAATAAAGTCAGATAAACCTTTGATTTAATAACTAGCTTTTATAGAGTGCTTTCTGCCTTCAAAGCACTTTGCAAACATTAACTAATTAATTCTTGCAACTCCCCTGTAATTTGGGGAAGCAAGCACATTCATATATGTTTGTATGTGGTTTGGGGAAGAAAGTATTATCTCGGGCATTTTACAAAACAGAGAATTAAGACATATAAATTATTTACTTAAGTCCACAAAGACAGAAACGTTGTCAGGGTAGGAACTGAAACTCATTCCTCCTCCTCATCCTTGTCTGTATTCCAACCACTTGGCTCTTTCAGGAATTTTCTCTGGAGAAGTGCAGCTAGGTCAGCCAAAGCAAGGCATGGATGCTAAGCAGGCATCTCCTCCTTCCTTCCAGCCAGTGTCCCAGGCACGAACATACTCAAGGAGCACACGTGGGGTGTGCTTACGTGGTGATCCACACAGCTAGTTTGCCTTACACTCTGGCCACTTGTCTGTGGTTCATGAACAAGGTGGGGGTCACAGCAAAGGTCTGCAGTGGGCCCAGCAGTTTCCAGCAAGCTCCCAGTAATGAACTCTGTTCACTCTTATCCACTGGGCATTCACACTGCCACAATATGAAAATACCGTCAGTATTCTGTGAGCAGCTTGTTTTGTTTCTGTCTCCAGTTTAGGTACAGCTTGTTGTAGGTTTAGGTTTAGCTTGTTGTAAGTATGCACCACAGTACAAGAGGAATTTATGTTGTCCCCTTTCTTTCCTAACTTGTTTACTGATTTGGTACCTACAATAAGACAGCTTTCCTGCCTACCCCAACCCATCTGTCTAGGATGTTATGCTGCGTTTTGGTCACACAGTAAATAAGTATTTCTTCATGTGCTGTAGGTGGACTGAGAAGAGTACGAGCTGCAAGAAGGCTGCACCATGCACCAGGGTACCAGAGGTCTTTGAAGAGTCATTTGCTATGTTTCAACTCAGCAAAGCAAGTAAGCTCTTACCTTCCAGGCTTTAGAAATTTTTCTGAAGTTAAAGAACATTCTTAGAACATGTGAAGGCCATTAAGGAGGTTTCAGAATGAATGTCTTGTTTTCAATGAATTTAAGGATTTCATGAGGTGCACATGTCCAAATACTTACCATTGTTTATTTTTGCTAGGTGTTGTAAATTAATGTTATTGTGTACATTTTTGAGTGATTAAGCAGTAAAGCAGAAGTGGATTGTATCAGTGCTGTGTATCAGCTAACATTTAAAAACTCTAAGAAACTTCAGGACATTTTTAATAGCTCAACTGAGCCAAGTTTTTCTGTGTCATAGTGTCTTCTTCAGGCAAGAGAAATAGAGTGAAACAATAAGAAGTATCTGTCTGCTTGCTAATGCACATTTCATCATTACATTCAGATAAACCAAACAATTAAATAATGCAGAAGGTTTGTGTAGATTAGAGAATTAGGGACAAAGCATTCCTTGGTGGTCAGCTATTTGTTTAGTGTTGAAGAGTAACTTTTGTAATTCTATTTCTGTAAGCTGAGTCTATCAAGTAGAGACTACTAGACAACAGAAGAGTGCTGCATTTTGCATGTGGTGTGCCAAGCACTATTTCTCTGTGGATATGAACAGATTTTTTTTTAATTTGTTATTTTATTGTATTTATAATTAGCCGTCTGGAAAAAAAAAAAAAAAGAAGTTCTCTTTTAGCATCTGCAGTGATGCATTGATTCTTTCATTACAGCAAATACGCATGACCCCCGGTGTTCAACTGTAAACAATAATAGTTACTGGCTTCATTAGTAAGCTAGCAGATGGCTTATAAGTTCTCATGGTAGCTTTTATCCATTTGAGGCTTGCAGTGTGCAAATGTTTGTCTTTTAAACAGGGTAAAACAATGTAAAAGGGACTCTGTGCTTTGTTTTTATTAGTAGCAATTCATTTGGATTGGAGATTTGAATCTGAGTATATGAATGCGCTATCAGTTTTTCCTGTCCACAGGTAAAGTACTTGCTGGGCCTTGCCTCTATCTCTGTGGCATTTTCTGTACCAAAAGAAATGAGGTCAAATATCACTTCTGGAGTTTTGACAATCATATTTTAATTAGTAGGACTCCCATTCTAAAATCTCCCTTCCCGTCCCGTCCCTTCTGCATGCAGTTGCAATGACCCTCTAAAAGTTTGTTATGGAACTGTGCAGAGCTATCTAAAGACCAGTTCACTGTCAATAATACTGAACACATAACTCTTTTAAAAGCAGAACCATTTTATTTCAATGTGTGAATCTCTTTGGAGGCTTTTTAAAATACTTTTATTACTTGCTCTCATTACAATTTTCATGAATTTGCTTATGTTGATAGCTGGAATCAAGCTTCATTATTGAGAAATAGAAGCAGGAAGCCATATATTAAGGGCCACCAGGTTTTAAATACCTTCAATTCTCTATAAAAGCATAGGTACATGGCAGTGCAAACTCTCTCAATGTGTTCCACTATTGTGTTTCAAGTGGATCTGTGCATGGAGGAGCCAGGAAGTCATTCACACTTTGTGGTCTTTCACTGTTGCCTACTTATGGTTTGTTCACACTAATGCATAAGCATTTGACTGGTTGATTTTTTGCAAAACAAATGCTTCTGTTGAGGTGGGAGTCAGCCATGTGTTTTAGAAACATCCATCAAGAATTAAAAACTTTTCCTTTAGGAAGGGGTATGTCTTATCTTGAGGGCATAAATGAATGAGACTGCATGCTCCTTGTGTTTCCTTATGGTGCAGTAAATAATTATACTATTAGTGTCAAGCTAGGGGATCTTCCTGAGTAAACAGTGATCTAATGAATCTTTAGAGTTTTATATTGTATTTTCATACTCTAAGTTCAATTTTAAAGTTTAAAATAACTTTTGTTTGGAGACAGCTATATCTCCTGGAAAAAGTATGAGAATGTTGGTTTCAGAGCATGTATTTTCACTTCTTATCCTCATTTTTTATTTTAGTATTAAAAATAATATGTGCATAAAATTTTTCTTTCTTCTGAGCCCATCTGCTCTTGCTTCTACCTTACCTGAAGATCTAGCCCCTTGCAAGTGACATCTTCAATGAAGAAAAAGCAGCAGGAGCAGATGATCTTTCAAGAAATAAAGATCCTATTTTCATGCAAATTTACAAGTAATTAAAAGTGATGGGAGAAAAAAAAAATGCATCTCAATATGCAGTGTCTTCAAATTTAATTTGAAATATAATAGTTTTAAACTTTCCTGTAAGAAGTCCCAGACTTTTTAAGTGGATTCATTTTGAGAGCAGTAAGAATTGTCATTCAGATTAATGGGCTGTTTTTCTTATCAAAAGACACCTTTGAAACAAGTTTGAGGGTAATGGTAAGAAGTTTTAAGTGTTGTTTTTTTTTTCCCTATGGTTTGAAATAAAGTTAATTAATTTCCTAAGTAAAATTAAATTCCATTCAAGTCTGTGGGTGAAGTATAGCAGTACTCAAAAATGCCATTCTAAGGACTACTTCAGACCCAACATGACTTCCATTTCAGTAGGCATGCCAGCTGTATCTCCAGCATTTACTGTTGCCTCATTATCTATCTCATGTTTCCTGAAGGAAATATTTTATTAAAAACAAAACAAAACTATTTGTTTATGAAGTTTTACCATTCATTATTAGTCACTAAAAAATTTAAAAAAAAATCAGGAAGGGGAAAATATATTGTGATAGCAATGCATTCTACAATTCTGTCCTTTTAAAACTGCTGCAGAAATGGAGAGACTTAACTTACTTCTCCTCTCCTCTCCTCTCCTCTCCTCTCCTCTCCTCTCCTCTCCTCTCCCTACTGTAAAATGGAATCTGAGGTGTTGAGAATTTTTGATTCTCATGAAAGACCAAAAGAGTTACAAGCACGAAATCAGAATAAAATTAAAATATTGCCTAAGCAGTGGATCCAGTTCTGTTCATCTTTACAGAAGCTGTAAGGTTACAGAGCTGGAATCCATAAACAACTGCTGCCCTTTTATCCCATGCTATTTAGATTCATTACTCAGTATATAAAAGTAGTTACGATTCCCATGATAGGTGCCCCTTTATTGATTAGAAGTAAGTTTGTTTCTGATGAGTTAGGAAAGGCTGGGCATTACACACGTGATTAGGAACAATGTAAAGCTACACAATTTACATCCTGCAGAATGAAAAAAAAAGTGAAGTACTGATGGTTTATTGATTACAGCTCTCATTTAGATGAGGAGGTGCAGGAAGCAATAAATAATGTAAATATTTTAAAATTCTGTCAGTGATAACCTAAAGGGAATATTGTGATTTGCAATAATACTTGGAAAAATTCCCTCACTAATGCTAGCAACTAGAATTTTTTGTACAACAGCCCATGGATTTCATAGGGATTTGGTAATGCCCTATGTGCATCAGCTAGTTCTTCCTGTGCATTTGTGTTTGATTTGTTTGTTTGTTTCCTAAGATAAGCTGATGGGCTACAAGGATGAAGTGAGGCAGCTCTGTGGTAAACCATTACTCTATGTGCTATAAATAGGACCTACTGCTGTATTTCAGTGTCTGTCACTTCAGTGGAGTTAAGAAACTGAGGAGGCTAACAGTGGTTGGGAGGAGCCACGTCAAGATGGCATCCTGTACTCTAATCAGCATCTTCCTGGATAAGATGTACTCAAATATTTTAACTTTTATGCAACTTTTTCCACCTTTTAAACTGTTGGAACTTCAGTGCAGATTTGGTTAGCTGACACCTTAGGCAGCTGCACCGAGTGCTTGAATTTCTTATGATAATGAACAGTTAAAGCTAACTGGAGTGCCTCTATTTTTTAATTGATTTAGCAGTTGATTGTCTCACAAGATTTATGTTTCCCCTGTGCTCAGAAAATAATGCTGTCAGTTGGCACTTGAAGGTATATTATTTTTATTGCAAACATCATGGATGAAACATCATCTTTGTCAATTACGATTTTAGAGGATGAAAAAGATTGTTCATAAAGGCAGAGAATATAAAATACTGTGTAAAGGTCACTAGATAGGTCAGAGCTGATGACCATCTGGCTATAAATGAACTACCAGAAGCTAGATAATATACCAAATGAGAACATTTGATATACTAATTCTTTTCCGTGTAGTAACATAAAGCAAGCAGACTTGCAATACATCTTTTTTTCTGCAGGAGTAAGATTGCTTCCTTTTCTGCTTCTGCCCTCATTTCATTTTCATAGCTTCATTCATTACATACCTATTAAAAACATTATTATATTTCTTCCAAGATGGAGGAAAGACTTATAAAGAAAATTCTGGATGTCCTGAAAGCTTTGTAAAAGAAACAATTACATGGAAGATTGTCCAGAAGAGGATCCCAAGAAACTATTCTTGTGTGCATTGGGCCTATTTCTATTCATCATTGTACTCACAAAGAGCAGGAATAATACCACTGATGCCAGTGGTGCTAACAGCAGATTACTCTATTTTGCATATTCTACCAAAAAAAAGGTCATTAGTATTGCAAAACTGAGCATTCAGAAGTTAAAAACTGACAATATTATGAAAAGAAGCATTAGCAGATTGCTCTAAGGAGGGAGAAGGAGAGCAATTTGCATCTTAATACGTGGATAGAAAATCTGGAAATCTACCAAAGGTGAATATCTGAATGTCTTTGAGGAAAAATTCTGTATGAAAATATTAGATATGAAGCATAGATGTAAGATTCATCAGAGTGCTTGTCAGTGCCTTTATATTTCAGTCACCCAGTGAGATTATGAGAATATCTGAGGTAGGTTCAGAATTAAGCAAGAGTAGTCATAGGCTGATTCAAGAGAATGATAGAAGAAAACCACAAAGATTCTCCATACTAACACAGAGAATCCATGAAAAGCAACATAGAGCAGGCCAGCAGAGCTTAGTTCATCCCTTTGCTGTGAGAGGGATTCAGATGGGACAGGGAGAAGGTCATTTTGTTCTCAGTACCCTGATCAACAGCACAAAAGCCTGTGAGAAAGGA